CTAGAATTAGAGTTAAGGTTAGTGTAATTTATAAAAAATTTGTCAGTGAAATGAACTTGTCAGTGAATTAATTGTCGGTAAAATAAACTTGTCAGTGAATTAATTGTTAGTGAACTAAAATATCAGTGAAGTGATTGTTAGTGAAATGATATGTATCCAAGATTTCATGAAGTGGAGATCTGGGTAGGCTTTCATTAATATCATAAGGAGTTGATAAAGAATGAAAAGAATTTTAAGAACCACCCCCAATATCATAGTTATCAATATTTTAATGTTATTTTTTTGGGGCTTGTAAAATTTATTCTTTTGGAAATATTGGCTAATGGGCTTATTTTTATTTTGCTGTTTTTTTATAGTGGAGGCAGAGGTGCTAGTTCTTAATATGTTCAATGTCTGAAACAAAAAAATTATATATATAAACCTAGAAAATTGTAAATGTTCAAAGTTTAATATTTATTAGTTATTAAGGCTACTTCATTCTGGTCTGATTCATATCTTTGTTTTTGAGGCATAGTAGCAATATAAAAAAGAGAAGGTCTCTTGAAAAAGTGATAAACTTGTCAATTAAAGAAGAAAGGTTTTTTGAAAAAGTATTTTGTCGATTAAAAAAGAGAAAGTTACTTGAAAGTTTTAAAGTTGCAGATTACTGCCTTTATAAATTTTTAATAGAATTTTACTTTATAATAATAATAATAAGGGGAAAAAATAATACACAAGTGATTGATCTGATTAATTAATTAATAATGTAATGTAGAGATTGATCTTGATCATTTGATATATAGATAAATAAAGCCAGTATGAATTAAAGAACTATACTCTTGATGCTGAAAGTTAATCAATTAGACTGTTAGACCAATTAAACTTACAAAAAAAATTATTATATACAAGTTTTTGATACCAAATTTGTAAAATTTAATTTTATGCAACAAGAAAATAATCATTTTTAAATAATTCTTATGATACATTATAGTTACTTTCTTGATGTATCATATATAAATTTAAGTTTTAAGCAAATAAGAGATTCCTCTCTAATTTATGTTACTTTATAGTTTAATATTTAATTATATAATTTGCTTATTCTATATAATCATAAACTTATAAATTAATATTAAATACTTAAAGTTTATTTTAGATCTGTTTTATTTATTTATTATATTTGTATGTCATATTTGTGAAAAAGAATTTGGGCATCTTATAAGCCTCAAAAACTATAAAAAAGTTCATAAATACTATTATAAAGTTGAAGATGAAACTGATACTAGTTTCAATACTAGTACAGATAAGAATACAGATGGTTATATTTCTGATGAATCAGAAGTAAAAAGCCAAGTGAGTATTATTGTTAATGTGAGCTCAATATTTGAAAATTAAAATAGTTAGATGTGTCTTATCTAGTATTTGATGTACAAAGATTGAGTCAGATTCAATATTTGATGATCAAGAAACTACTAATGAATTGAATTCAATATTTAATGACCAAGAAATTACTAATAAATCTGATTCAATATTTAAAGACCAAAAGGCCACGCCACTAATGAATCTGATTCTATGTACGATGACCAAGAAATCAACAATAAATCTAATTTCATATTTGATGACCAAGAAACTATCAACAAATCTAATACCATGTTTGATAACCAGGATACTGTCATTGAATATAATTCAAAGTTTGATGATAAGTTCATTTCAATATTTGATGAGCAAGAGATTATTGATAAATATAACTTTATATTTAATAACTATAGAATTACCAATAAGTTTAGCTCAATCTTTAAAAATAATGATGATTTCGTCCAAATTTTTGAAAAAAAAATATATTAGAAGAATGTGAAAAGACTAATGATTAATATTGGAGTGATGATAGTGAATATAAAAACTTTCCTAATATTGTATATCAGAATTTTATAGACATAGGAACTATTATTATTTTTTTGTTGTTTTTTTCTTAAAATGGAGTATTTAGTATCTTATTATCAATATTAGATAATCTGATATTGGCTTTCTTATATAACTAGTAATGCTATATTGAAGTTTATGAAAAATCATGCCAGATCTTCAAAAAAACTTTGTTTCGATCAACTAAAAAGGTCTTCATTTCTTGGATACCTTAAAAAAATCATGTTAAATTTTCTTCAACTCCTATTATACAAGTAAAGAATCAAATATATTTATTTAAATACAAACCATAATTTTAGCTATTAAAGAAATCTTTCAGGATCAAGAAATTGCAATGAGTTGTATTTTCAATTATCAAAAAATTTATACATTAATAGAGATGAGTAAAAGTTATATAATAACAGATATTCTGTATTAGTTGCTAAGAAAAGAATAAAATTGACAAAAAAAAAGATCAATTTTTATATTATAAATCTTATAATAAATCATAAAAAAATACAAAATTTAAAGTGCTATACTGCAAAATTTTATTAATACAACTACTTTTGTGTCTTAAGCAAAAATAATTCTAACCTTATTCAAAATTAATTTATATAAAAAAATATCTTTTGAAAAAATTGTCAATTTTATCCCTTTTCTCAGTAGCCTAAATATATTATTAATCAAGACAGTATAAATTTACACAATTTGATCTTTTTCAATTTAGGGTTAGTAATTTTTTTTCAGTTTTACTAAATTGTATTAGTGCTCAACACTATCTATATTTTTTAATTATTTTGTTAGTAAAATTTAGGGTTAAAGAACCCAAACTATAGTAAGGATATAGATCTAAATTTTAGTTAGGGTGAGATTTTTGAAGGCAATGAATATTTTTACTCCTAATATGTGCTAGCTAGTATGCTTTTGAGATATAGCAATAGTGGTGTTAAGTACTACTATTGTAATTTAGTAAAACTGTTTGCATATATAAATTTATATTATTATTTTATTATAATTTTATAGATATTGATTCAAATATAGGCAAAAAATTTTGTCAATATTCTTGGTTTATTCACTAAAAATAATTGCTGATTTTCCAAATTTCATTACTAGATACATTACACTGTTGAGACAATTAAAGAATATGGAAATCTAAATAGATTGAGTGCTGTGACATATGAAGTACTTCACAAATAGTATATAAAAACTCCTTACAGAATATCAAATAAGCACAATATTGATACACAAATTTTGCAAAAGGTTATTTACTTAGTTATTTCATTAGCATTGCTATTTACTATATATTAATATATTACTTTATAGGTCATACGAACTTTTATACTCAAAGATATTTACTAATACATTTTATTACAAAACCTACCTATATTTAAAGAAACTATAAAAAAATTCAGTAAAGCATATTGCACTATATTACAACATCTTATAGAGTCACTCATCAAATTATATAAGCATAATAAAAAATATATCTCTGAAATTCTTGATGGTTTTTGCTATCTCATCTCTGCAATGAATGACTATTTGATCTTATATCTGTGTTTAAAGGGGATATGAAAGAATCAGAAGTAATTTTTACTTTATATGAATCCTTTATATTGCCCAACAAAGAACAAGTAAGGACTACAAAACATTATCACAATATGCCAGTATTTAGCAATATTGTCATCTATATGTTTCTAAACAAATTGAATTTGAAACATTTGATAGATATTGCTTTGCAAAGGTACATATTATTACATATTTAAATAATTATAAAATTATATATTTTTTATCCCTTAAACCATTCAAATAAGCAGACAAATTTGTCAGCTTAAATTTTATAAATTCATATTTGATCTATTTTTTTTAAAAATAAAAATATTTAATATTTTTTTTTTTAAATAAAAACTATGATTATATACTATTTA